CCTACCTACCTACCTACCTACCTACCTACCTACCTACCTACCTACCTACCTACCTACCTACATCTATCTATTATCTATCTATCTAAAATGACTGTGTGTATGTATGTTCCAGCATAACTCTGGAACGCCTCGAGCAATTTCAACCAAACCTGGTACACAGATGACTTACTCTCTGGAAATAAATACTGCGGGGGTAAGACACACCTAACACCCCTTGGGGTGTGTGTTTTGTTAAGATACAGCCTGTTGTGCATTAAAATGGCTTCTACCATACTGCTGTAAAATGGCTTCTATTGTACAGCGCAGTAGAGTTGCCATAGTAATGCCTTCACAAGGGGGCTCCCTCTGGTAAGGGGGAAATCCAACATTAGAAATTATTTGATCCCAACATTTTCCCTCTATGAATAAATACGCGGGGAACACCAGGTTATCAACTAGTAAATAATAATAATAATAAAATAATGTGTTCAGTAGAAATGTAAGCTGGCTAAATTAGCAAAGGATGGTTTATAAAGGAAGAAGAATGAAATGAGCATGAAAGGCTAGAAAATATAGTCCTTGACTTAAAGCAGTTCATTTAGTGACTATTCAAAGTTACTGTACAACGGCCACTGACAAAAAGTGACTTATGACCTTCCTTTCCCACTTAAAATTGTTGCAGCATCCCCACGGATTCAGGCGCTTGGCAAGTGACTCACATTTATGACGGTTGCAATGTCCCAGGGTCATGTGATTCCCCTTCCAGCAAGCAACATCAATGGGGAAGCCACATCCATTTAACCACCGTGTTACTAACTTAACAACTGCAGTGATTCATTTAACAACTGTGGCAGGAAAGGTTGTAAAATGGGACAAAACTCACTTAACAAATTTGTCACTCAGCAACATAAACGTTGGGCTCAATTGCTGTCGTAAGTTGAGGACTACCTGTATTCAGTACTAGGTAACAGCATGCTATTACATATACTGTAAATATGTAGCAAATCCAACATTTATTCACACTGGTGTTGCCCCTGGGTAACTAAGCAATTAAATACTTGAGATGGACATTTTAACTGTGCTTTTATATTGTTGTCAGCTACCATGAATCTTTCAGACTTGGCAGCATGCCAATTTAAACAACAAGACTAAAAAAATCCTTCTCCTGATAGTTCCACAAGATATGACACAGAAACTGCCTTTGATGGGAGTTAAAAATTGTGTTTGATCAGTTCACGGAACTGCAAATATTAGAAATAAAAGTCTACGTTACCACCACCCCCTCAAAGATGTCTCACTTCTGACATATGTAAAGTAAAGGTTTCCCTCGCACATGTGCTAGTCGTTCCCGACTCTAGGGGGCGGTGCTCATCTCCGTTTCAAAGCCAGAGAGCCAGCCCTGTCCGAAGACGTCTCCGTGGTCATGTAGCCGGCATGACTAAACACCGAAGGCGCACAGAGCGCTGTTACCTTCCCACCAAAGTGGTTCCTATTTTTCTACTTGCATTTTTTACTTGCTTTCGAACTGCTAGGTTGGCAGAAGCTGGGACAAGTCACGGGAGCTCACTCTGTTACGCGGCGCTCGGGATTCGAACCGCTGAACTGCCGACCATTCTGATCGACAAAACCAGCGTCTTAGCCACTGAGCTACTGCGTCCCTATATATGTTACATGTTGGCTATCAGGATTCTTTCACCCATTTGAAGTCAAACAAGCTTAGAGGAAATCAAAGCAAATCGCATCCAACTGGATCACATAAAACTATGGATCTATGAGAAGAAAAGCACAATGTCAAGGCTCCTGTTATACTGAACAAGAGGTCTCCAAACTTGGCAACTTTAAGATTTGTGCACTTCAAGTCCCAGAATTCCCCAGCCAACTGGCTAAAGAATTCTGGGAGTTGAAGTCCACAAGTCTTAAAGTTGCCAAGTTTGGGGACCCCAGCCAGGGGTGGGCTGCTGGGGGTTCGCGTGGATTAGGGCGATCCTTTAGCTAGGATTCTGCCCAGTTCCGCAAACCCCCAAATGCCAACCATGGCTGGCCCCGCCCACCCTGCCCCACAAAAGAGTCTCCACGCGGCCTGGTCATCATGCCAGGGAACTGCAGGGCCCGCACGGAGGCTCAGGGAGGGGGGAAAATGAGCCTACAGGAGGTTCTGGAATTCTGGAAACAGGACTTTTTCTGACATCTGGAGGGTCTCTGGACCTCGGGGAAGCAGTTTTCACCCTCCCGGAGGCTCGAAGAAAGCCTCCAGAGCATGGGGAGGGCGCAACACACACACTCTACCGTGGTGCAGGAGCCGACTAGGCCACGCCCCTATGGCTACGCCCACCCAGCAATGGGGCAGCAAACCCGTTGCTGCAATTTTTGAAGCCCACCCCTGCCTCTACTAAACCATTCCTCGTAGGGATGTACAGGTAGTCTTCAGCTTACAATCATAATTGACCCCAACATGTTTGTTGTTAAGCCCACGTTCCTCCCCAATCTCCTCACTGTCAGAATCTGTGGCAAGCTCCGCTGGCGGGCTACAACACACCCATTGCATCTCGATTCATGTCATTTGCATGACAGCACAATGAAGCTCGAATGCTCGCCCTTCTCCTGCCTCCCCCTGCAGACGCTGAAAGACCAACAGTCCACTCTTGTCTAAAACTATTCCCTACAATCCCACCGACTGCTCAACTTACCGAAGAGGAAGCAATAAACAGTAACGCATAAAGACTCCGATAACCCACATAATCGTCAGCCGTAAGCTGATGTAATGGAAGTTGACATTGGTCCTGGTGAGGAGGTTCCAGGAAACCAGCTCCTCCGAAGTGAATCTTTGGGTGACTTCATCTTCTACAATGGCTTCAATGCCCTTCTTAGAAAAATAAAAGACATCCGAGAGCTCAAAGTCTCTGCAGCCATTGCCCGCCATCTCCTTCTCCATGGTGGTTTGCTCTCTCTGTATGATAACTTCAGAATAAAGGGAGAGAGAGGGAGAACACAGCTGAGTGAGGAAGTAAAGCTAGACCAAGGCAGATCATAATGTACCGTATTTTCCAGAGTATAAGACGCACCATTTCCCCCCCCCCAAAAGAGGGTGAAAATCTGGGTGCATCTTATACACTGAATACAGCATTTTTGGCCTCCCGAAACCCTGCCCCCTTCACAAAAATGGATGTGCAGAGGGTTTGGGAGGCCTGCAAAGTGCTCCTGAGAACTGGGGAGGGCAAAATAGAGCAAAAATTG